CGTAGCCCCCACTTCATTTCGATTTCGGACAAGGAACCTCGTTTTTTATTTATACCATTCAAACGACTATACCACTGACAAGCAGGAACCCCGACCGAAAAATCCAGGAGAACTTTGATGAAGTAAGAGAGCAAACGTCCTACACACTGAGCCATCGTAGCTCACACTTCATTTAGATTCCGTACACGGGATCTCGGTTATTTGTATTCCATCGCCAGAAAAATCACGATGAACTTTGATCAAGTTAGAAAGCAAACGTCCTACTCATTGGGCCACCGTAGAGCCAACTTCTTTTCGATTCCGGGCACGGGACCTCGTTTTTTTTAATCCCATTCGAACGACTATACGTTGGCCCTTGTCAGGCTTTACATCCTACAGCACCGACAAGTCCACGCATCAAAAAACCCGATGAAGGTAAATGAAGATAGAGAGCAAAGATAGATTCGACTGAAGACTTAAAATCGATTACAGAATACAATACTATCTGTGCAAGAAGAGATTAAAATTGTTTAGGACTATTAAATTTTCTAGAACTTCAAACATTTCCGTTTATTATAATCCATGTCCAAATATAAATGCCGATACGGTAGTCAGTGGACATGCGTATAAACTGCACTTCCGAGGCGAGAACACGAGAAGACGAGAAGTCGAGATTGTGACGAAGCGAGGGAGCGAGAAGACGAGAGGACGAGATTAACCCAAAGGCGAGACAACGAGAAGACGAGAAGTCGAGGTTTTTCAAAGGCGAGAACACGAGAAGACGAGAAGTCGAGGGCGAGAAGACGAGGGCGAGAAGACGAGAAGTCGAGGGCGAGAAGACGAGAAGTCGAGGGCGAGAGTGCGAGAACACGAGGTTTTTCAAAGGCGAGAACGCGAGAAAGCGAGAAGTCGAGGGACGAGGGAGCGAGAAGTCGAGGTGAAAGTAATCTCGTGTTCTCGGGGCGAGATCCTCGTGTTCTTGTGTTCTCGTGTTCTCGCCGTCAAATTCTCGTGTTCTCGTGTTCTCGCCCTCGACTTCGAGCGTATAAACTGCATTTTCGAGGCGAGAACACGAGAAGACGAGAAGTCGAGATTGTGACGAAGCGAGGGAGCGAGAACACGAGAGGACGAGATTAACCCAAAGAACACGAGAACATGAGAAGTCGAGGTTTTTCAAAGGCGAGAACACGAGAAGTCGAGGGCGAGAAGACGAGAAGTTGAGGGCGAGAGTGCGAGAACACGAGGTTTTTCAAAGGCGAGAACGCGAAGAAGCGAGAAGTCGAGGGACGAGGGAGCGAGAAGTCGAGGTGAAAGTAATCTCGTGTTCTCGGGGCGAGATCCTCGTATTCTCACCCTATTTCCTCGTGTTCTCGTGTTCTCGCCCTCGACTTCTCGTCTTCTCGTGTTCTCGCCCGTCGAGATTCTGAAATGGCCGGAATAGGCTTCCATATCCAGTAGTTATTACAAAACATGTGCATGGGGTCCACGGAGACCCCACGTGCAACGACAAGGGTAAATATTAAAAAAATCCAAATTATAATGTTATTATGTTATAACGGAAACCAGTATAGGACTTCATAGGTAGACAAAATCCACACCTTTCGTCATCAGAGTAAATACAATATACAATCATTTTTACATACAAAATACGATATGCGTAAATACGTATAAAGGGACGGGCTGATGTACAATTAACATTCCCATTTACAACAGCTATAATAAGAGTAATTTCCCATTTCAATATATGATACTGTTTACATTGTATCGATGAATAAATCAACGTCCTTATAAATACTGTTCTGCACAGCAATACAGTGCGCTATGGGGGACATTTTACCCTGACAGCGGCGTTACAATCTAATCTTATTCGAATTCCGACTGTCAAGGGTTCTTTTACGTACACGCCAATGTATATACGGGGCCTCGTTTTTTTTCGTTCCATCCAAACGACTAGACACTGTCCTTGTCAGGGCCGTCTTCATAATCCCAGTCGGTGCAGAAAAGTAGGACGTTAAACCCAATTTTATTTCATAAATTTCATAAATTAATTCAATTCATGGAACATTCTTCTGACAATTGAGGATGCAAGTACAATATGGGGGACGAGTGTCATTTATTTTTGCATATTTTTAGACCAGATCACTAAAATTCACATATAGTGTGATAAAAATGATAAAAATGAACAAGTTGTTAAAAAAGTCTGCTAAAAATGGATTTATTTGAAACGGCTCACTAATAGGAAATATGTTGGGGTTTTTTCTCGAATTTCATTTTACTGGTATATTTATATACGTTTTTTTTTTTATAAATGGTCTGAAAGGCTCAATACCACTCTTGATGTAACTGAATAATATGTCCAAATCTTTATTCTGGTCAACAAATTGTACTTTTTAACAATATCCCAATTAATTGATGATACAAATTTCATCTTAACACACCTAATTTAAAAAATTGGAAAAATTCAACTAAATGATTTGAAAAGCCTGACGTAAAGCTTTTCAACTGTGACTTGGATTTAAAAATACTTTTGAACCCTTTGGACAAGTAAAATAGGATTTAATGGGTAATTTACACGACAGGTAGGACACTAACACATCTAGTACTTAGAATAAGGCTATTTTTTTATTTTCTGGAGCTGTCAAGCCAGCAAGAGTGTTATTGTCCCTTTAAAATATTAATATGTCTATATATTTGCAGGATCATGACTCGTCGTGACATATAACATATGTTACCAAGACGGGTGATAGTAGGTCACCAACACGAGTGGTATAGATTAGAATCATGTAATACCTGTACATTGTCAAATTTAATCATATTTTTACACACACCCTTATAATAATAATGATCGTATTAATCAAGATGACTCATATTAATCACACCGTTATAGTAAGCCTACCACTCGCCATTTCCTGGACTTTTCTCGGGTGGCGGGTCAAATTCCGGTACCTAAGCTTTTCTGGAATTATAGTAGGGGTTGGGGTGAGACCCATTCTCTGATTGTCATGCCTGATCCGAGATCTAAAGAAACCATGAAATAAATTCTTTACATTCTGGACTCACCGTGAACATTCTCATTGGACAGTTGGAATTTAACTGCTGGCCAGGCAAAATTTAACCCATAACCCACCGTCATTAACCCGATTGGAGAACGGAGATATAAGTTATAGGACACTGTACTTTGTATCAAGTTTCGAAATTCGCGAAATGCGAACCGAACATCCAAATTTAAAAGGGCTCTTCTTTGTTCCCCAATCAACCATGCCACAAGTTTTTGAATTCATTGTCGCCTGCCCAACCTCGTAGGTTTTCTCCGGTCCTCGATTTCCTCCTTCTGCTAAAGGCCCTTACGCGCAAGCGAATTATTGAAATAAAACTGAACCATATAACACAAATGACCTAGTTTGTGTTGAGTGTACGTTAAACCCCATCGCCCTCTCTCTCTCTCTCTCTCTCTTTTGAATTTACTGTAAAAAAAAAAAAATTTACACAGTTTATGGATTTTGAAAATGCTCGGAAAATATTTCATTGCATGAATCCAAATTAACGAAAATAAAATTTGGACGGACCGAAGAAGTAAAATGGGATTTAACGTCCTACTTTTAAGCAAAAACCCGTGATAATCAAGACGATCGTAGTGTGCTACGAGGAAAAAAATTCTTAGATACTCTGCCCTGATAGTGCATTTATCTCGGCTGTAGCAGAATGCTGAGATTAATTGACAGGTCTGTCTTATTTTATCTCGAACTATTAAAGATATTTGTTGAGCAATTGTGTTCAAAAGAAGATCACTCCACGCAACTCGCGACTGTCTCCAACTCTTACAACATTTGGAAAATTTATCTGATTTAATTAAAATCGCGCTTTTTTATTATTGACCAAACCGTCCATTGACACAACACAACAATAAAACTATGTTGAATGGACCTTAAACCTCCTCTATCTGTCTCTCTTTGATTTAGCTGAAATGGAGTACACAAAGTTGATTATGTCAATCGGATATATGGATGGTGAACTTTTAAAGGAGCATCTTTTATGTGCTCTGCCGATTTGTACACGGAACATTGGCTTCCTTTCCTATTTGAACATTTTAGACACGCTTTCCTTGTCAGCCACACATACGTCACCTCTGACAATCTCCTCAACCCAAGCCGGGGTTCGCACTTTGCACCCGAGAAGATAACATCTCAAAACTTGTACGGGGCTTGATACCCGGAATACTACCCAACATACTGTAAATCTAACGGACGCCTAACGCGTCTGAAAGTGTCCTTTTTAGAACATTGGCGTTGAAATGTGAACACGTTAATGTTCTAAAACGTACCCAAATCCTTAAAATCCGTTCAAAACTGAACACATTGTGTGCATTTTCCTTTCTATGGTCTTTGAAATCATTTACACTTAGAACACATCGGACGCAGAAGACCAGTAAGGAACGCATGGTGTTCAGTGGGTGTTCATACCGGAACATCAATTTTGACACCATGTGTTCAAGATCGACATCGGACATGCGCACGGGTAAGGCTCTGACTATTTCAACAGCTGTTATTTAAGGTAAAGTATTGTTTGTTTTTTTCTAATAAGGTAGACAAGTTGTTTCAAAAGTAACAGGGAAACTTAGGTATGTGAATTTGGAAGTAGACATGGAATTTAGGTTATATTGCTAGATTAGGTTAGATTGCTAGATGGCCCTTGCCATCTGTTTATACCTTTCGAATTTGGTTCCCAAATCAAAATGAATGAAATGGGGTTTAACGTCCTACTGTTCTGCTCCTAACCTGGGCCATGGAAGTCAGAGCCGATAAAAAAGGTATAAAAGACGCAATCTATGATTCTCGAAACATGTATATTGATGTCTATATATCTAAAAAATATAAATGTTTTAAGCCATTTTTCGGTATATTTTTATTTAGTAGAATGGTCTATTTTAATCGTCTTCATTAGCCCAGTCGGGGCAGAACAGTATGCCATTAAAACCCTCTATTATAATAATTAGTCATCTCTAATTTTTCTTAATATAATAGTGCACGGTAACAGAAGATGAAAAAATAAAATGGCACAGGTCGCCGAATGAACTGCCCAGTCTTCTACTAAAGAATTTTGTTGCAGATTCGTTCAAACGGTAAGTTTATTATGCTTAGGTATTATATCCATTTATTAGTTTACACTTTCAAATTTTAATTATAAGAAGTACATATATTATGCCAGTTTCCTGGGATTTAATTGATGTTAATATTTCTATTGCAGGTGGGGAAATAAATAGAGTTTAACTTCCTAGGCTCACGAAGACGAACAAGCATCACGTGTGCAATGAAGGAATTTTACCCAGACGGTGGCTTTTCCGTCTACTCTTGCCAAGAATTATAGGTGCGCACCAGGCCTATCCCACGACTAGATGCTGTGCAGGCGAAGAGAGAAGAACGAACAGTAAACGTAGAACTAGAAGAGAGTACAAGTGTACCACAGATAACTTTTTACTTGCCAATAATATTGCATTCAAATTCGGATATTATTATAATATGTGAATCTTTTTAATTGGGCATAGTAGAATATCGACGTAAACAATGACACATTATCTCTGCCTATGTTGTATTATAAAATTAAGGTAATAAAATAAATTTGTAAACAGTGTTTAAATTGTGCCATGCTTTTATCATACGAAATACTAAATCATTTGAGTCTATTTTAACCACTTTTTAAAATGTTTGTTAAAATTTCAGAGTCTATCACAACAGAACACCCGGTGTCTGCTTAGAACGTCTGGTTCCCTCTGTGTGTGAAATTCTGAACGAACGGTGTTCAAAGTATGACTACCGAACACCTTTTAGTGTTCATTATCTGTTTCATGCAGTTGAACACTTTATTGTATTCTAAAAAGAACACGTTTTACGCGTCTGATATGTTGAAAGATCGAGGGGGAAAAGTTGAACGTATAGTATTCTAAAAACAGAACACATTTTACGCGTCACAAGTGTTCTAAAATCCAGAGGGAAAAACATTTAAAACTGAACACATACTGTTCTGAAAGTAAACACATGGTGTTCTGATAGAATAAAAGACGCGTCAGTGTGTTCAAAAAGTGTTTCAAAATAGTGTTCTAAAATGGCGTATTTGGTGTTCTAAGAGCGGACGTCGGGTTTACAGTGCAGGGAATATAACCTCGCGCCTACTTTACGGCTGGTCACAGCTTTAAGTATAGTAAATCAAGAAACGGTTGAATTCGGGGACTTCCTGGATGGAGGATGTGACGGCGGATTACCACATCAATTAACCATCAATACAAAATATTTAATTAAAGGATATAACTAATACCTGACAGTGTTAATGGACCGGGTACCATTGGTACAAATGGTTTATTTTCATACAGATTAATCCCTTAACTGACTAGACCGACAATTTAATCATCATTATACGTTAGGGTTTTTACGCTAACGAAGAAAGCAATCTTCTTGAATAGATTTTTCATCGCTCGTTTTCAGTGACCATAGGTTCAGCGACATTATGAAGCTAAGAATAATTTCTTCCTAACTGCATTAGACATAGGTTCATTCGGTACGTCATGTAAACGAAGGACTAATTTCTTCTTATTTGCTTAAGGAATTATTACCGAGATTAATTTGAAATTGTCTAGAAGTTTACCCAATTTGTTCTAATACTAATAGTGTGGTATCCGAAAGGCTTACCACTGAAAGAGGGTTTACTCCCTTATTCGTTATGGTCCATAGAAGAATGCGACAAAATTACTGGACTCAGTAAAAAAACCGCAGGAATTATGTAAGAGCTAAATCTGCCTAATGCAGACCTTTCGTTTAGCCTCAAATGTTATATTAATCTTTAATTAGACATTTATTCAAATGCCAAGTCCATTATCGACTCCTAGGTTATCGGGTGGTTTTGATTTTCATCGGATTTAAACGCGATTGCCATTTAATAATTTAATTTAAAAAATGGGAAATCGAGACTTAGTAACGTAACAACGGTAGCAACCGAGACTACACTGTCCTTCAGTCATTGACTGATAATGAAGTCATCGACTGAAATTTTCAATATATTCCCTTTTCATTATCTATTGTTTAACTATTACAGCGAGAACTGTCAGCTCTTTATCGAAATCTTACATAATGCATATTTAAGTGGACAAAAATATCTTTTCATAAGACAGTAACACCCGATTGGGGTCAGGAGAGAGAGAGAGAGAGAGAGAGAGAGAGAGAGAGAGCAATGGGGGGAGAGAGACCGGGGGACCCGGAGAAACCCCACGAGGTTGAACAGGTGACCCTGCTCCTTGTCACGTACAAGATAGGAATCGAAACTACACACTAGTTGACTCAATGACAGATCTTGTGAACTAAAACGCATTCATAAGACCATTCGTCCGACCAACCCACAGGTCGGAAGACCGGTGACTGCAGATTTTGGAAAACGAATTTGCTCTTTATGTGAGTATAGTGGTTGAGGGATATTATTACTAAATATTTAACTGTACGCATTTTCATTGCATTCCTTGACCAACCGGACTTATGAACATGGATTCCATTGTTGACTACGAAAAATCTATATATTTAAATATAATTATTATAAAAGACCCAATGCTATTTTAATTCAACAAAATAATTAGGTTTTTTTAAATTTCCTTCGAATGCGTAATTTCCTTTCTCCATCGTGTCAGTATGTAGGCTAAATGACCCATCATGATCATATTATTATGTCATATATATAATCTGAGTAAATAACATAATGCTTTTATTGATATGGTACTTTTTAAAATGGATGCAACGACTGTAATATAATAAGAGACAAAGAAGGTTGAGCGTTGGCTTTGTTTTGCCAAATTTACATACTAAATCTTAAAGTAGCTAAGTCCGTAACTCAATATCATCCAAAATCTTCGACATTAAAAACACGAATATTTTTGCAATTTAAATCAGCATTGGTTTTGTGATATTACCTGGAAAAGATGGGCTTCTGATATCCAATATTTAAGACAAAATAAACATTTTAAAATTGGTACACGAATCGTGTACCATAATGCGTTTCAGCGCCATTTGTAACAAGGTGGTCAAAGAATGAGGCTAGACATATTCCACAAGTCATGTCAGACGGTGATGCCATATTCTTATTTGGAGTGCATACGCAATATATACTATCGGCGTTGACTGGAATAACCAGACGCTAGAAACTGTCTTTCGGCTGAGACTTTTGGCGTATTTCGCCGAACATAACTGATGACAATTCACAGTAAAACGGACACGATTGAATGTAAAACAGTTTATATAAATTCATATTACATTATTATTTGTGCCAATTTCTAGGTCCAAAATATTAGCGATTTAGCTCCTTTAACAAAAAGTGGGTGTCACACCGACCCTGGGGTTCGAGCATTCATCAAAATCAATAGTTGCCATCCTTTGTGTATAAAGAATAAATACATGTATGTCAAGTTTCAGGATGATCCATTCAGAATTGCGGCCTGTAGGTGATAATCACAAAAATTCGGCATTACTGTACCCCTGGATGTCGGGGCATACACCAAAATCAATAGTTGCCATCCTTATGGCACAAGGGAAAATATGCCAACTTCCAAGATGATACAAAGAAGGCTGGGCGTTGGGTTTGTTTTGCCAAATTTATAGACTAAATATTAATTAAGATATTAAAATGATCATGTTGCAGGAAATGTTTTGAATATTATTGATAGGACTAGTTTGAAACTTTTTAAATATTTTTGCCGAACATTACATTTGAATCAAATATTGACAACATTAAGAAGGAATCCTATAAATTCTTAAAATAAAGAGTCATGGACCCGAGATGCACCTCTGTTTAAAAATCAGCACACACACACTTTAAGGGTCACCAGCTTTGCAGTTGCTGTTTCTTTTATATTGATTTTGTCTTACAAAATGGTACTAGAAAAAAAATAAGAAGTTATGAAAAAAAAATTTTTTTTAGCTGATTTGTGATTTTTTAAATCCATATTCAAGACAGAGTACCATATCCGTCCACCGGTACACAAGAATGTAGATTCTTTTATTCATAGCCTTTCTCTTTCATCCAAAAGGGGAGAAATACGTTTTCAAACTGATTTGCCCCGGGTAGCTGTTAGTACTAATGGAATGAAATGGGGATTGAAGTCTTAATTCTGTACTAACCTGACTTACAGTTATTAATAACTGTGTTATTGACTGTGTTAATGGCTGTTAACACATAGACATCCCTAAAATTGTTTTAACTATTAAAAAAATAATTGAGGCCAATTTGCGTTCTTGGTATAATAATATCACATACCTGCAATCATACAAGCCATTTTAGGGATAGGCCGAGCCATTTTGTGAATTGTGATCAACAACAATCATTAAGAAATAGTGGTAGCCAATTTTTTAATTAGGATGTTTGATATTATTTCCGCCACCTTTGTTTACTTCTCAAAGACAGGAACACTGAATGATTTTTATGAACTGTGATCAACAACAATTTAAGAAATAGTGATATTTTAACTAGGATGTTTGTAGACCGGAGGCTCAGTGCGCGGGGTGTCCATCAATGACTTTTGTAAACTGTGATCAACAACAATTTAAGAAAATAGTGGTAGCCATATTTTAACTAGGATGTTTGTAGACCGGAGGCTCAGTGCGGGGGGGGGGGGGGTCCATCAAATGGCCACAAAACCAGACCCACCTTTTCTAGAGTAAAATTTTGCGTAGAATACGATGCAAAGTGGTAATCAGTTCGCCGTCAGGGCGATTTCGAGATATTAGGGGTCAAAGGTCAGATGAGGCCATTTGCACTGAAAGTGAATGCGCAGCCATTCTTGTATCATGAAAACACACTGAAAGTGATCGGAAGTAATCATTCTTTCAATAAAAAGGTAAACTTGCTAAACTTACATTTCAAGTTTCAACAAAATCGGATATAACCTTGATATACAATATTTTTACGCTATTTGAGAACGAAGGGCGGCCATTTTGTCTGTCAGTTTTGGGCCGATTTTCACGAAATTCGAACTCAGTCGTCCTTAGGGTCTAACGGGGATATAATAATACGTTTTTTTTTAAATCGGATAAAAATTATGACCTCTATGGACTCCACAGGCTAAAATCGCAATTTTTCGTACAATCAGGGGCCATAATTCAGGAAGTTACGTTCCGATATGCGCGAATATATACAGGAACCGAGATCTTTGGATTATAAACTTACATTTCAAGTTTCAACAAAATCGGATAAAAATTGTGACCTCTATAGGGTCCACAACCTTGATATACCATATTTTTACGCTATTTGAGAACGAGGGCGGCCATTTTATCTGTCAGTTTTAGGCCGATTTTCACGAAATTCGAACTCAGCCGTCCTTAGGGTGTAACGGTGATATAATAATACGTTTTTTAAATCAGATAAAAATTATGACCTCTATAGGGTCCACAAGCTAAAAAAGCTATTTTTCGTACAATCAGGGGCCATAATTCAGGAAGTTACGGTCCGAAATGCGCTAATATCGAAAGGAACCCAGATCTTTGGGTTATAAACTTACATTTCAAGTTTCAACAAAATCGGATAAAAATTGTGAC